AGAACCTCAATATGAAAATGGACTTTAGAAAACTGGCATGCGTTATGTGCTGACTTACCACGAGTTCTGACTACTCTGCATGCTTCAGCTCTGTAAAGTAGGTAATAATTATTACTATACCATTTATCACTTTTCTTATTTATCTTCATCTTATTTGAAAGGCAGATGGGCGCCAATTCGTGTCCCAGCTGCTCCACTTCTGATCCAGTCCTCTGCTTGTGGCCTGGGAAAGCAGTGGAGGATGGCCCAAGTGCTTGGAACCCTGTACCAACATGGGAGACCTGGAAGAAGCTCCTGGTTCCTGGCTTCAGCTTGGCCCAGCTCTGGCTATTGTGGTTATCTGGGGAGTAAACCAGTGGATTGAAGACCTTTCTGTCTCTGTCTCTCCCTCTCTCTGTCTGTAACTTTTGCCTCTCAAATACATAAATAAAATCATAAAAAAAAGGGGGGAGACAAAGACAGGTAGAGAGTGAGAGAGTAAGAGAGAGAGAGAGCGAGCAAGGAGATTGATCTTTGATCTGCTGGTTCATTCCCCAAATGCCTGCAACAGCCAGGGCTGGGTCAGGCCAAAGCCAAGGGTCAGAACTCAATCCAGGTCTCCTAAATAGGTGTGAGGGACCCAAGTACTTGAGCCATTACCTGCTGCTTCCCAGGGTGCACATTAGCAGGAAGCTGGATCGGAAGCAGAGCAGCTGAGACTCAATCCCAAGCAATGCTGTGGGATGTGGGCATTCCAAGTGGCTACTTAACTGCTGTGCCACAAACCTGCCCCCACTATCCCATCTTATAGATGAGAAACCATAGATTTAGAAGAGTTCAATAACTTGCCCAAGGTTGCAGAGCTAGGAAGTAGAGAAACCAGAAGTTAAATCAAGGTCTGTCTGGCTTAACTTTTGACCACTAAGCCAGAGCCTTTCACACATCACATTCCGGTTGCCTGGGAAGCGCATGAAAAAGTACTTGAAGACAAGGTCCTAAGTCCCCACTCCACTCCCAACTCTGATCTGGAGGTCTGATGTGGGCATCGGGCATCAGCATTTTAAATAAGCAGCCCTAGCTGTTTTCAGGCCTTCGCGAGGAGCACTGCACTTAGCCAATCTGCAGAGCCCGAGTGGGGGCAAATGAGGAAACTGGAGGCTTCCCCCATAGAACATTCATAGGTGGCAGCAGGATCTGGATAGAGTGAGAGTCACTGAAGAAGATTCCTTGAACACAGATGCCATCCCTGTCTGCTGATCACAGTGCCTGAAATCCCAACACCCGGTCCTGCCTCTCCATGGCAGGGCTCATCCCCCTCTTCTTGAAATCACGGGCAGCAAAGGATTCCTCTCCCCTTGTTCAACATCAAGCTTCCCATGGCTGCCTAACATACAGCCCATAATACTTTCTACTTACCTACTGCATAGTAACTTGCAGCCTCATAATTGTTGCTTTAAAAAAACAAAATCCGCTGAGCTGTCTTTCTAGGGTCCCTGATAAAACTGGACTGAACTGGCTGCTGCCAACCTTATAACTGGAGCTTGCAGAGAGGGTCACCTTATCGTTTATTATCATGTTAAATACACAGGTCCGATGACATTTCAGCAGCTCTCTTTGGACATAGGCTGTACACAAGACACGATTTGTCAAGGCGCATGCCCAGAGGACTCCCACGCTTTCCTCTGCACCTATGATGTCCTCTCACTTCCGTTCTCCCAGTTCCACCCCAAGTACCCTAACTCTGTAAATTCCCAAACCTGGAGATTGATTTAGGCCTCTGCATCATTTAAACTCACTGGCTGGGTGTGTAGCCATGGAGGAAGAGAAACATTTCGTAGCTTCCTGTTTTCCCTCCCTGGGGCATGACCAGGAGCAGGGACATCTGTAAACCCTTGTCCTACGTCCTGGGAGGACGCTAAGAGCTGAATGTGACAGGGCTGCAGGAATGAAGTCCCTGCAGGGCCAAGACCCAGGAGGTCCACACCTCCTGTTCACCTCCCTGCCTGCAAGTGCTCCCCACTGAGGAGCTCGGCACCCCCAGGTTCTCCCTCCTCTCTCTCCGCGGCCGTCTGCCCTCGGAAAAGGCTCTGAATCTCCTGTGTTCAGAGAAGGCCAGAGGAAGAGATGGAGTCCTGAGGAATCCTTGCATCGGTTGGGAGGAAAGAAGAAGAAGAACTGGCAGAGGAGGGCAAGGAGGAACAGCTAGAGGAGGAGGAGGAGGAAGTGGAGGAGGAGGAGGAGGAGGAGGAGGTCAGGAATGGGAGAGGGGTTTTCCACTGGCACGGGGAGCCTGAATTCTGGGACAGGAGACTGAGCAAGGGCTGGCTGGCTGCAGTATGAGAGACTTGTATGCGTTCCAGCTCTGCTGGGGCCAGGAGAGAGGACAGACATGAAACACAGGGAAGGAAGAGAGAGGTAGAGCAAGATGCGAAGAAGAGCGGAGGAGACACCTGCCTGGGGCCCTAGGGAAGAGTGAGCTCTCCAAAGAGGGCACGGATGGAGACGTGAGAGAGGTGCAGAATGGGAGCAGCGAGGACTGGGGTTGTGGGGACAGGAAGCTCACATCCCAGAGCTTCTGTTGTCTCCCGGGCAGGAGGCAGAGCCCAAGGCCTGGGGGCTGGCTGGAGTGGGCAGGCAGGAGGCAGACAGGCTTGAGGGCCGTGGTCCAGCAATGACAAAGCCCTCTCCCACCTTCCAGCACCCCTCCCTGCCCTGCCCCAGGGCGCTTCCTTCCTTCCTCCTGCACTGCCCACTGCGTCAAGAGTGCTCCTCAGCCACAGGAAGGGGCACTTCTAACCCTGCCGTGTAGGGTGGCCGACATGTGTTCCCCCACACTGAGCCTGTGACAGTGACGGCTGTCCCTGGAGGCTTGTTCTGTCTGCTCGTAGCTGGCTTCCCAGGAGAGCAGGCTCTTACCTGTCTCTTCACCACTCTGTCTCTAGTCCTTGAACGTCACCTGGGACACTGTGATGTCCCCCGAGACCCCCGTCTGTGAATATGTGGGTGACTGAGTGATGCCCGGGGTCCTTTTCCGTGTTACAGATGGCCTTCCCCTGTAATGATGAATCTGAAACTCCAGCAATCTGAAGTCCAAAGCCAGTTTCCTTGGACACAGGACCTTAGGCAAGCTCCTTGCCCTCCATGAGGCCACTAGGGTCAAAAGGCTGGCTGGGAAGCAGAGGCCGTGCAAGTGTGGGGGTGGTGGGGATCCAGCTTCCCCCTGGCTTCTGCACATTCCTCTAGCTGACTGAGACATTGCCCAGGAACACCGGTGAGCCTGTTGCAATTCTGAGTGATTTACAGGGAACGGATTGAGCAAGTCCTTCCACAGGGAGGAGTGGATGGGTGGGGGAATGGCTAAAAGTCCTCATGGTCTCACCCCAACTTACTTCTCCAAAGGGCATTTCTGGGGAGTCACCGACGGATACCACATTGTCCCTCGCCAGGAGTTCCTGAGACTGTGGGTTCATGCAGCATTTCCCTATTTTATTTTTACCCAACATCCTCAGTAGGAAATGAAAGTTTACAAGGTGAAAGGTGCACATCTGTTCATGTACACAAGTGAAGCACTGAAGGGCACTGGGCTGGACATCAGGGTGTGGGGCTCTTGTCACGAGCTTTGCTGGTCACTAGCTTTCCTAATTCGTATTTTCATTTTATTTGGAAGGCAGAAAGAGACAGAGACAGTAACATAGGCTGTAACAGTAGCATAGACAGTAACAGGCTGAAGCTAGGAGCTTGGAACTCAATCCAGGTCTCCCAAGTAGGTAGCAGAGGCCCAAGTGCTTGAATTGTCACCTTGCGCCTCCCAGGGTGTGAATTAGCAGAAAGCTGGGTCAGAAACAGAGTAGCTGAGCCTCACGCTAGGCACTGTGATATGGGATACAAACACCGTAAGCAGCAACGTAACCATACCATGCCCGCTCCTGGGTGCTAGCATTAGGTGGGCATGGGATTTTGGCTTAATTTTTAAGAAACTGTTAGGGACACCAACACCACATGTCAGAGTGCCTGGGCTTGGGGGAAGGCTCCACTCCCAATTCCAGCTTCCTGCTAAGGAGCACCCTGGGAAACCACAGGTGATGGCTCAAGAACTTGGGTCCCTGCCACCCACATGGGAGACCCAGATGGCGTTTTCAACTCCTGGCTTTGGCCTAACCCAGCCCCAGTTCTTGCAAACAGTTTGGAGAGTGGACCACCAGATGTGAGATCTCGGTCAATCAGTCTGTCTCTCTCTGTCTCTGTGCTTCTCAAATAAATAAAATAATCCAAAGCAATAACTTTTTAAAAATAAAAAAAGTTCCCCAGTCTCATGTTCTTCAGGCCCAGCAATGCCTGCTTCTGATGCAGTGGGGCCAGGACAGGGAGTGGCTCAGGGACAGTGACTGGAAGTGGAGACGGCAAAGCTGAACCCAGGTCTCCTCTTGAGCCAACTTTCCCAAGGGCAAAGGCAAATGGCCCAGCACTCCCTGTCATCTCCCTGAAGCCCAGCACTCCTTGACCCAAGGCCTCTGAAAGGCAGGATGCCTTCTAAATCCCTGCATGCCATAGATGCAATGGCGACGATATCAAGGCCTGAGGGGTCCCGGTTCTTCATCTCTGAGCTGCAGTTCACACCATCGGTGCCTCCACCCTCAGCCTGACATCTAGCACAGTGCCGTGAGGGTCCCAAGTCCGAGCTCACCGTCAGTACCCAAAGAACGACACTGACACTGTGCGCCTGCCATGCCTCACTCCCAGTCCTCGTCTCCTTGACTTTCTCACGGCTCCCGACACAGATACCAAGAAGCAGTGCCCCAGAGAGGGGATGTGATGCCTCAGCTCACCCAGCCAGCGACTGGAAAAGCAGCAACCTTTAGGCTCAGTGTTTCTCTGACCCCACCCAGCAGTTGTACCAAGGCCCCAGGCCACAGCCCCCGGCCTGGCATCCAGGCAATCACTCCCATGGACATGCCCTGATACCAACAGGTGCCTGCGGTGGGGGAAAGTGGGAAATGGCCCGGGAGAGCCAAGGCGCTTACCGGAACGGGGAGGCTGTCCAGATGTGAGCGACTGTAGAGACGACCGTGGCCTGAGTGTGGCGGCTCGGCTGCAGCTGATAAGAGGTGTTCCTCACCCGCACCAGTGAGCCCAGCCTGACCACACTTCCCCTTTCTGGTCCACCCACAGGGGACGCAGGCGTCACCAGCTGGCAGTCATTCCCCTTTCCAGGGAAGCTGCCCACCCCAGACCAGAATGCTCCCACTGCTCTGAGTGCTGCCACCAGGCCCATCAGAGGTCTGTGATGGTGTGGGAGGGGCCTTTTTCACTGTGTGGGTGTGCATCTGCTCTGAGCATGCCCAGACCGGCAGCCTGGACCCCAAGGAGACTCACAGGGCCCTGACTGCCACTCAGAGACAGACGTGGGTAAGAACCCAGCTCCCAAGTGACAAACACACCGTCCACAATGAGCAAACCCCCAGGGAACCCCAGGACTACTCTCAGAGGAGCAAGACAAAGGTTTCATCTTTCTTTCTTTCTTTCTTTCTTTTTTTGACAGGCAGAGTTAGTGAGAGAGAGAGACAGAGAGAAAGGTCTTCCTTCCGTTGGTTCACACCCCAAATGGCCGCCACGGCTGGTGCATTGTGCCAATCCGAAGCCAGGAGCCAGGTGCTTCCTCCTGGTCTCCCATGCGGGTGCAGGGCCCAAGCACTTGGGCCATCCTCCACTGCCTTCCCGGGCCACAGCAGAGAGCTAGACTGGAAGAGGGGCAGCCAGGACAGAATCCGGCACCCTGACCGGGACTAGAACCCAGGGTGCCGGCGCCACAGGCAGAGGATTAGCCAAGTGAGCCACAGCGCTAGCCGGTTTCCTCTTTCTAAGGTTGTGTGGGTAGGCTGCATGCAGGCTGTTTCAGCTGAGTCGGATCGCTCTGTGTAAACTTCTGAGACAGAATTCCCAGCCAGGCTCACAGCCCATGAAAATGGGGCCTGGGGTGGGGAGACCAAGAAATGAATCATTGCGTCCAATGCGCTGTTTCTGAGATGGACCCTCACTTCCATAAAAACAGCCCCAGCTGGTGTGCTTTGTGCCCACTGGGAGTGAAGGGATTGTTACCGCTGTGGTAATGATGGGGACGGGGACAGTCTAGTGGGTCTGCAGCACCTGGTCACACCGGGTCTGCAGTGTTTGCTCCTTTCCATGATGTAAGCACTCCCAAAATGGTCAGCAGGGTGTCCGTGGACTTGGACGTGGGAGAAGATTATCATGACCAATTGGCTCTCTTGGGCCTTTCCGGGCCAGCTCCAGCATGCCACTGCCTTGCTGTGTCCCATCTGTGAGCACTTGGTCATGACGCTGGCCTGGAACCTGTGTCTGACACTCCTTCCCTCGCCTCTCTGTCACTCCCCTGTTTTACAAGCGAGAGCACTGAAGCTCAGGAAGTTTGCATCACTGAATCAGGTTTACATAGCCAGGGAGGGGACTTTGAACCCAGGTCTGTAAATTCACAAAGCCTGTGCCCTTTCTTAGTAGGCCCAAAGTTTAACTGCTCAAAAAACTTTCCCAAAAAGCAATTTTAAAATCATCTTCTGGGGGCCGGCGCCGCAGCTCACTAGGCTAATCCTCCGCCTTGCGGCGCTGGCACACCGGGTTCTAGTCCTGGTCGGGGCACCAGATTCTCTCCTGGTTGCCCCTCTTCCAGGCCAGCTCTCTGCTATGGCCAGGGAGTGCAGTGGAGGATGGCCCAAGTACTTGGGCCCTGCACCCCATGGGAGACCAGGAGAAGCACCTGGCTCCTGCTATTGGATCAGCGTGGTGCACCGGCCGTGGCGGCCATTGGAGGGTGAACCAACGGCAAAGGAAGACCTTTCTCTCTGTCTCTCACTGTCCACTCTGCCTGTCAAAAAAAAAAAAAAAATGGTCTTCTGGGACAAGCATCTGGCACTGTAGGTAAGTTGCTTGCATCCCATATCACAGTGCCTGGGTTTGAGTCCTGGCTTTGCTCTTGATTCCAGTTCCTGGCTACTGCACACCCTGGGAGAGAGCAGCAAAGGCGCCATTCGATGGGTCCCTGCCACTCGAGTGGAAGATCCGGATTAAGTTCTCAGCTCCTGGTTTCAGTCTGACCCCACCCTGCCCATTGTGGGCATTTGGGGAGCAAACCAGCCACTGAGAGCTCTCTCTGTCTCTACCTCTCAGATAAAATAAGTAAACAAAATTATCTTCTGAGAAGTGAATAAATGCTTCTGCAGAAGCCAGAATCCAGGAACTTAGTCCAGGTCTCCCTGGGGTGACAGGAACCCAACCGCTTGAGCCACCACTGCTGCCTCTCAGGGTGTGCGCTAGCAGGAAGCTGGGATCAGGCAGAGCTGGGACGTGAACCCAGGCACTCTGATACGGGCTACAGGTGTCCCAAGCATCTTCACCATTGTACCAAATGTCTGTGCTCCTTTTAGAACTCTGAATATATCATCTCCCTCATAGCCTGCAGAGTTTCTGCTGAGAAATCTGCTGATAGTCTGAAGGAGGTTCTCTTGTATGTGGTGAATCTTTTCCCTGATCTCAAAATTCTGTCTTTAATTTTTGACAGTCGGACTATACCTCAGGGAAGTCCTTTTTGGGTTGTACCTGTCTGGAAACTTTGGAGCTGTATGTATTTAGAGATCCATATCACACCCAAGATTTGAGAACTTTTCAGCCATTCTTTTTTTCTTTTTTTTTTTTTTTTTTATTTATTTGCGAGAGAGCAAGCTAGCCCATCCTCTGGTGCACTTCTCAAATGACCTCAGTGACACTGAGCTGGGCCGGGCCAAAGCAGAGAGCCAGAAACACAATCCAAATTGCCCTCATTGGTGGCAGAAACTCAACTTCTTGAGCCACCAATGCTGCTACCTAGGATCTGCCTTAGCAGGAAGCTGGAATCAGGAGCCGGAGCCAGGAATTGAACCTGGGCCCTCTGGTGTGGAATACAGGCATCTTAAGTGGGTCTCAACAGCCAGACTAAATGCCTGCCCTCGTCATTATTTTCTTAAATAAACTGTCTTACTCTTTCTCTCGCTTCTTCCAGAACTTCGTTATTATTATTTCTTGATAGAGTCATTAAATTCTATAACCTTTTTTCATGCCTTTTCTTGCTTTTTGTCCTCTGACTGCATAATTTCAAATGACCTGCTTTTGAGTTCACAGATTCTTTCTTCTGCTTTTGAAGCTCAGTATTGCATTTTTTATTTCATTCATGATCTCTTCAGCTCCAGAATGTAAAAAAGTAATTTCTATCTCTGTGGAACATCTCATTTTGTTCATGTATTTTTTTCATGATTTTTTTTTTTTTGGTTGTTGTTGAGTTGAGTTGTCTGTGTTCTCACGCAACTTGTTGAGCTGCCTTAAAACAATTATTTTAAACTATTTGTCAGGAAATTAGTAGATACCCATTTCTTTGGAGATGCTGGAAATTATGTTTTTTTTTTTTAAACAGATTTATTTATTTATCTGAAGGTCAGAGAGAGAGAGAGAGAGGTCTTCCATCTGCTGGTTCACTCCCCAATTGGCTGCAATGATCAGAGCTGCACCACTGTGAAGCCAGGAGCCAGGAGCTTCCTCCAGGTCTCCCACATGGATGCAGGGGCCCAAGGACTTGAGCCATCTTCCACTGCTTTCGCAGGCCATAGCAGAGAGCTGGATCAGAAGTGGAGCAGCTGGCACTCAAACTGGCGCCCATATGGGATGCCGGCACTGCAGGTGGTGGCTTTACCAGCTATTCCACAGCGCTGGCCCCGGAATTATGTTTCTTTGATGATGTGTCACACTTCCTTGATTACTCATGTGCCTTGTGGTCTTTACTGTCTTCATTTCTGAAGAAGCAGTCACCTCCTCCAGCCTTTACTCACTGACATTGGGGAAAAAGCACGTCACCTGTCGACCAGCATGAGGTTCTCAAGTTCTCTTAGACCCTTCCTATAGATTTACCTGCTCCCTCCCTCTTATTCTAGCTTGTTAGGGGAGATTCTTAATGTTGTATTGTTGTGTGTCTTTTTTTTTTTTTTTTTTTTTGACAGGCAGAGTGGACAGTTAGAGAGAGAAAGAGAGAAAGGTCTTCCTTTGCCATTGGTTCACCCTTCAATGGCCGCCGCGGCCGGTGCACCGCACTGATCTGAAGCCAGGAGCCAGGTGCTTCTCCTGGTCTCCCGTGGGGTGCAGGGCCCAAGCACTTGGGCCATCCTCCACTGCACTCCCTGGCCATAGCAAAGAGCTGGACTGGAAGAGGGGCAACCAGGACAGAATCCAGCACCCCCACTGGAACTAGAACTCGGGGTGCCGGCGCCGCAGGTGGAGGATTAGCCTAGTGAGCCGCGGTGCCGGCCAGTGTTGTATGTCTTTATCGATCTTGTAAAGCTAGACTAGATACTGAGAAGTGCCCTGATGCTTAGGTTTGTGTGCTTCCTCCCAATCCTGCAGATTCAAGCCATCTGACTGTGCCGAAGCCGTCTGCAAAGGGTCACACTTGCCATCAGAGGGCGCACACAGGGAGCCACCCATGGGAGTGGGGAGATAAGACATGCAGTGCATTGTGGGTGCCCCCAGGCCAGCAGGGGAGTCTGTAGGTGCAGCACTCCTAGTGGCTTGTCAGCTGCCTGCTGATGAGGTCCATGAAGCAGTTAGTGGGCTATGGACCTTTGAACCCTGGCAGCTGTGAGTCTTTGCCAGTCTTCCTTGCCCCTGGCTTCTCCCAGTCACCCTGCTAGACTCATACCCTCAGTGTTCTGGGTGCGGTGAGAAGGAGGTTAGCCAGCGCTGTATAGTAAGGGAAGTCGAATGCTCGCAGTACTCTTACTGCCCACCTTGGGGGAATTGTGGTCTGAGAAAGTCTCACATGGCACTGAGCTGTGCCACTTGAGGCCAGCGGTGATGTGAGTAAAGTGAAACTCTTCTTTTTACTCTCTTCTGCATCTATTTTCAGATTTTTAAACATTCTAATGGTGGAACTTCTGGACTCCCACAGGGGTGCTCTGGGCCATGGGTGGTTGTCAAAACCAGGGCACTGTGGGGGAGACAGTTGAGAACTGTTCCGCCATACTGGTGTCTTCCTTCTCCCTCTCCTCTCTTCTCTTAGTATGTGCTCTCCCCAGCTGGTAAAATCTTGGAGGATAGGACCCCTTCTCAACTACTCTCCCCAACCACGATACTCAACACAGCCCTGAATGCGAAAGAAAATGCCTGGTAGATTCTTGCTGACCTGAAAAAGAAGCATGAAGTAGTATTCCTTAAATAAAATAAAATAATTAAAAAAAAAAAAAAGCTGAGTCTTCCAGAGAGAGAAGTGAGTTACAGGCACAAAGGAAGGCAACTTCATTCTCCCCGGCTTGAGGGCCCGCCTTTCCAGGCTCTGTGCTAGACAGTAAGGATCAAAGAAAAGAACCACCCAGTGCCTGCCCTCAAGGAAGTCCCTCG